TATTAATCCACCACTGCAGACCAGACCTGACCGACATGAAAACACAGGTCCAAAGAATACACAACACACATAGCGACCCTAGATTGATGGCTCATCTCCAGGTTGCCTTAGGCTTGGTTGAGTTCACGAGTTTACTTCTAAAACTCGAAGTAGCAGTAGCTGGATGTTGCAAAGATGTATGCATTGCTTTTAGCTATCCATTTTGAATTTCCTAAGCTAAATCCTCACATTACCAAGATATTATTAATGTTTACCCAACATAGATCAGTGACTGTGAGACACTGAGGTACGTGCTGTGCAGACGGCCATGGCTGAAAGCTTACTGGTTGTCGTGATAATGCAGATACTTAAGATCACACAAATTTGCAATCATAGTCGCGTGCCTATTCATCTCGTAGATGTAGTTAAGATCTATTATTTTGTATCAAACCAATCTGTCCATATACCACCCAGTTTAGATGTAAAATGCTTCAACAAATTGAACTGATGAAAAAGCCGTTTATCTTTATGACTCAAATGAAAGATTATGATTCCCAGCATCCTCTCTACCATGTTAGTATTCTTAGCCATCAGCCACCGCATAATTCCCAATGTTGCTTCTCTCCTGCGTCTTCCTCGACCCAATTACATTTTTAGGATGTGAAGAAGGAAGATGGCTGTACGTGGGAAACAACCCCATCCCCTGCCTCATGCCAGGATTTCAATTTCATGCCATGGGAGAAAGCCAATGAAGGGTTCAGAGTTCATGTGAGGAAAGGATGAGGATATTTTCAGCAAGTGCAAGAATGATGAAAGGGCTCTAACTGAACACTGCTCATATTTTCCAGCTTCAATGTGTATCATTCACCAGTGATGTTGTATTGCATTTGTGAGCCTTCAAAACTACCACAGCGCTGGTTTTACAGAAGCAAATCATGTTATGGTGATCACCTCAACCCCTTAAATTCTTGCCCCCCCCGCCCAAACACAATGCCATCGTTCAGGGAAACTAGGTCAAACAATCAGCAGCGTAACCAAGACACTAAAAATCCCCCCAAAAAGTTATTGTCAGTCATATTTTTAGCCAAGTAATTTGAATATGAAAACTCGTCTTGCACATGTCCCCACAGCCCACAGAGAGGTAGGCTGTGTCTCCTGAATAAGTCAGTCCTAATTGGTGTGCAGCGGCGCATCTCCATGCTAGCACACTAAACTCACATTAATGCTCTGCATGAATACGCCCCCCCCCCCTTAGATATCAGAGGAAGACAGAGCTCTGCAGCATGGCAACCGGCTCAGACGCTCCTCGTCCACCTCTATGTGTAGCCATGGCAACCCACGCATAGGCCAGCGTGATTCCATGTGGCCTTTGCAACATGCATCCATAGTGCTGAAGCGATGTATATTCACAAAGAGGGCATCACCCAGGGATCCAAACTATCACCTCAGAGGGAGTATACACACACAGCTCAAATGTATTGGCAGTGGAGCCAACAAGGTGCTTTTCCAGCAGCAGAGGGACGGATTATAAACATCAAATAATTTGTTTCCATGGCAGGAGGCCACGGAGAATAAGACAGAATAACAACGGATAAAAGCAGGAGGAAGCAATACAATTGGGAAAGTGGTCTTCAAGTACAGTAGCAAGAAATGTTTCCATTTTATGGCTCCCAAAAGTGAACAGATGTCATTTGTTAGCGGAACAGACAGCAGTGACAAACATCAGACGTCTGGATGCCGGTAATTCCCAGCACTCTCACTGAATCAAGGCATCGTTCTGGTTGTCTCCACGGTCAGGCTGCAAACACTTTCTCGGGTGACATGGGAGATAAAATCAGAGAGGCGCTGTTTATCTCTAAATTGTCTCTAACAATCCTTTCATTCACAACTCTGTGTAAAGACCAGCTCACTGTAAGAGGGGGGAGGGGAAGTTTGCCTTGGTCAATCTCCTTTCATCTTTTTACTAGTTTGCTCATGTAGCTGCTTTAAAATGACATTTTCACAACAGAAGGACACCTTAAAAAACTAGAAATGGGCATCAGGGTATTGCTACAGTCACTCAGGGAAGTCAATGTAAAGAGACCCCACTCTTTGCTGTGCATGACTCATATTAGAGAACAGGGAGTGACAGTAATGGGTTTAGAAAAATCATTGACATGGTGGGAGAGTTGGATTTGTTGCTTTGAGCTGCATAGCTGCTGCCCCATTCTTCCAAGCGCTCTTACAGCCAATCAAATCTCCTTTGTATTCATATTCTGCCAATGACAGCCCATCAAGAAATATTGGTGCCAAATCATCCTCTGTGCCAAAATCATTCAACCACCACCTCTCTCAGTTTTCTTCCCCTAAAGAGCAGTGAGGCTGGGGAAGCAGAGCGTGTCCCCAAAGCAGCTCAGAGTTTAACAGGATTTAGCACAATGCTGCCAGACTAAACTTTCTTCCCGTCTCTGAGCTCTGCCTTCGTGTATATGTCAGGTTTGAAATTTGCACAACAAGAATGTGCTTTGTCATTTTTACAAAATAATAAGTAGCTTGAACGTTAGTCTCGCCATGCAGAGGCAATTTTGCAGAAGATGAAACACACACACGTGAGCATTAATTTTCCAAGAAGATGTTTAATAAGCATGGGGGATTCCAACTCTCTCTATACACACTGTTGCTAACACAAAGTGAAGTCAACACAGAAAAGCAACAATCTAAACGTAAGCGGTTTAAATATGCTTATAAATCATGGTAAAAAAAAAAGTTAAAGTGTACAATGGTCTGGTATGACCCCTTGTAAAAAAAAAAAAATTCAGTGATTTAAAAGGAAGATTGGGTTACCTTTGGACAGACTAAGGCTAGCTATTACAACCTGTTTCCAATCGTTATGCTAAACTAGGCTAAGCTAAGCTGCTCGCTGTAGCTTAATATTCAATGTACAAAAATAAGAGAGGTATTATTATTTTCTGCAGTGAGAAAGCATTTGGTGAGTAGATTCCTCACATTGAAAACATAATTTACACACAAATGAATGTAATTATCTCATTGTATTATTAATGAATAGTGTATAAATGTCAAATGTAATAAGTGCATTAGCCACTGGAATTAATAGAGTAATTGGTATTCAGATACAGTATATGCTGAAAAACGTAGCTACAAATGCATTTCGTACAGCTGACTCTTTGCATCCCAATGCATCCGGGAATTGATCTACAGGTAGCAACAGAACAGAAACATCCCAGCAATTCCTACACACTGCCACTCACTGAACAACCACTCTGAAGCTGCAGGAGACACCGCTGAAAGAAGCCCTTCATCATGTTTCTACTCATTCATTCCAGACCTCATTGCCATTCAGCCGACAACAAGGCACACTAGAGCTGTTCTAATTGCTTCCAATCACAATGAATGGGTTAGGGCATATGGGGGATAGAGCGGAAAAGGGTAGGATGATGGGAAGCTCTATGGACTAATGTGAGAGTTGTGCTCTAAAAGCCATGCAGGTCCTTCTATGTGTGACATAGCCCCCTTTATCTTGGGTGGTCCCCACTGACCTGTAAACAATTGAGTTATGGGAATAGGAAAAAGTAAAAAAACATCTCCCCAAGCATCATGTCAGTGTCCCAAAATAGGCTGCATATCGCTGGTCACAGGCATAGGGGGGGTTTCATCTCTCAATCACTGCCTCTGTATCTGCTCTGCTGGGACAAATGTTCGAATTGCAAGTGATAAACTATAGATCCGGACATGGGGATGATGCATCGAGATCACAGACGGCTAGTCAGCTTCTCAGTGAGAGATTAATTACCCCCTGTCCCATGGACTCTGTAGCTAATACTATTGTGGGTCGAGATGGCTCATTGAATTAGTATTTTAGAGGCTACCATAGTAATCTACGCTTCGATGTTGTATCTTTAATATCTATTATGTTAAGACAGATGACAGTGTTATACGTTATAATGATGGATTAGAGCCTAAAAACAAGGCTAAAAGGGACGTCCAGAAACATCTTTAGCTGCTGATGTGTAATCTCAACTCACTGATAAGCTCTGATGCTCCACACCTACTACATGCTGTGATGAGAAAACAATCAGAGTTTTACTCTATTCATCTGCAATGTCTTGTGAAGTTGCCTTGGATGTGAAACAAGACTAATGCATCAGGTATATGAAGCTGTAGTTACTGGTAAAGTTGCACTTTGGGATACAAATCAGCATTTTAAAATGTTCACAATGACAATCCTGAAGTACGTACTGGCGTTAAGCGGGGCTCAGTGAATTTCATTAATTTCGGAATTATTCATTTGGTTTAAAGTAATGGACACGTTTAAATGTTGTTTCCCTGGATATAGAGTCATAGGATCAACAAAGTAACTACAATACATCTTCAGGAAACCATGAGAGTCTGTAAAAAGAATGTATGTCAATCCATTAAGATGTTATTTATTATAAGATAAGATAGTTATTATATACTTTACTAGATCACTGAAAATCTTAAACTGCTAATGTTGGAAGAGGAAGAAGAAGAGGACTACTAAAGTAATTCATATTTATCCTAAAGAACCTTAATTATTCATGGTAATCCACCCAGAAATTCTTGTTAAGACATTCTTTAGTTTTAGTTTAGCTGGTGGACCAGGCAAGTGTTGATAACATTGTGTTTTACTTGTGCTTGTGCATTAACTTCATGGAGACTTAATCAGTATTAAGGAAAGCAAAAGTAGTATATTGGAGTTTAAAGAGACAGGGTAAAAATCTCATATGGAAAGCAAATGAAAATGCCAAGAGATTAAGTGATCTGTAATCAATGAATTCTACATTTTCTCTCTGCACGGTTGCCCTTTTAATAAAAAGGCCTTTACCGTGAGTGTAATGGACAAAGTAATGGCTGGAGAGGACATACTGCAGTCCTCTCTGGCTCATTATAGTTTAACCGTGTAAGGTCCACTGTTGTAATTTTACAACATTACTTTAAGCTATCCTAAAAAAGTCAGTAAATGTTTTTTGTTTTTTTAAAGACCACATTTACATAGTCAAGAGGTCCTTTTGTTCAGCCTCACAATGCTATTGGGTAGTAAATGTGTTTATAGGTCCTGCCCTCGGGCCATACACTCACACAACTTCAGAATCTTCAAACGAGCAACATCTCTTTGTTTTATTGGACTGGATATGTTCAGATTCAAGTACGTAAAATGCCTCAAATATGTTTTGATTATTACAATGTCTAGAACATGTACATATTTAGTTATTGTGGAATACATTCATCAAATTTGATTTTGAGCAGCTTATGTCTTTGTTGTAATATTCCAACACTGGGTCAGTGTGGTAGTCAAAATAGCGTGTGTCCCTGTCATGGAGATTACCCTTCTTATATGTTCACATATGGAAATAAAACACTAATAGAAATATAATGTCTTTGATAATTCACTATAAATAAGTTCTAAATGTGTCCTCTGTAAGATTTTGAATTAAGACCAGAATTGAATAAATTAATACATTATTTCTAATAAAAGTATGTGAAATTATATCTGTAGCAATATTTTAAACTCTACTTGTATCTTATCAGTTAATTAGTTACAACAATACATTTAACTCTGATTCTGGCAGAAACAGTTCTTTCGAAACAGTGTTGGGACACTTGGATGTATCCCTTTTAGTATGATAATTATCCTGTTATCAGCATTGTGTGACTTGTTGAGCTGGTTTACCTGCATGTGTGGGTGTAGGTATTCCTTTTATTATGATAATAGGCAGGATTATGTGACTTATTGAACTGGCTTACCTGAATGTGTGGGTTTAGGTATTGCTTTTATTATGATAATAGGCTAAGCCAGGTAGTATTGTGTGACTCAAGAGTACAATGTAAATAGGATTCAGATACTTGTTGCATCGGGACACCTGGAAGGGGGTGGTGCATGCATTCCTTTCAGTATGATAATAGGCTAAGCCAGACAGAATGAACACTTGTCCCGCCACCCTATCTATTCCTTGAGGTAATCTATTACAATATAATAAGCATAATTATGTATGATTGATACATACTTATTAATTAATTTTTCCATTTCAGAATGCCACCAGCAAAGAGAGGTCCTCGATTCAGTGTGCAGGATGTGATTGCTGCCATCCAAAACGGAGAAAGTGAGTTTCAGATGGAATCAGAGGACAGTGACACTGAAATGAGTGAAGAAGAGGCAGATGAAGATGCCTGTGGCCACATGGACAAGGAAAACCAACAACCCAATGACCCCCCAGTCAGTGATCATGTGGACATCGAGCCCCAACAACATAAACCCACCAAGCCCTGTGACAGGTATCGTTGGCTGAAAAAATATTTCATCAGTCCCAATACTGACTTTTGTGGTTACAACAAGTACATGGGAGGTGTGGATTTGTTGGACTCGTTTACGGCCAAATAAAAGTTCCCCATGAAATCCCGACGCTGGTACGTGTACATCTTCTGGCACACCATCATCCTTGCTGTGATCAACGCCTGGCTCCTTTCTGAGGGAGTGCAAAGCTCTAAAGATGCCAAAGCAGGAGATCCTGAACAAGAGACAGTTTCAGGCAGATCTAGCATCCTCTCTCATCCTGGTAAAAATGCATTTCTGCTATTTGCCGTTTGTAATATTTTTTTATATTTCACTGTAATATCTTTGACTTGTATCCTAATGTATTTTTGACATGTATCTTGATTGATTCTGTTCTAATCAGGTGAACACAACTCTTCTGAAAACACCCGAGAGAGGACGACCATCTTCAGGCAACGGGAGCCCAGCAGCGACGGTGACATCAAGGAGCCAGTTGAATGCGCAGAAGAGACCATCCTCAGGTGATGGGAGTACACCAAACGGGGCCCCATCCAAGAGATCACAAACTCCACTGGATGTACGCAAGGACCTAATGGTACATTTTCCAGTGAAGACGCTGAGAGGACGCTGCAGACACTGCAGTAAAGGGTACACAAACACACAATGCACCAAGTGTGACTCTGCTTTTCCGATGGTAGGAACTGTTTTTGGGACTACCATTGTATTAATATTTAATAAATGACTATTCATAACAAATATGACTGATGTGTGATTATTATTCATGATATTCTGATATAGGGCTAAGTAAGCAATCAATCCTGCAAATCAACCCTTAGTTGTTCAATATATTTATTCAGACAATGTGAGTAGAAATACAGAAATTCTGCTCCCACCTAAGCCCAATGTAATATTACAACATTTCCCTAAAAACTAACCAAAACTTAAAAAATGTGAAAACTCTTTCATTTCTGCTCCAGAGGCTCCTTACAACAACATTTAATAGGTCAAAAAATATATTATAAATATATTTGGGCTTTACAGGGTTAAGAGAAAGAACAGAAATGACAGAGAGAGTTGTCTGAGTTTCTAGTCGTAAGCGTCTGTGTTTCTAATTTCAGCCTTAAATAGGAAACAGGACATCACATGTTGGGTTGTATTAGTTGGTATTCTAGCAGTAAGGTTCAGTTAATGGGGCCTGACTGTTTCCTTCATTCATAAGAATGAGCATCTCTCTCTCTCTCTCTCTCTCTCNTGTAAGAAGTAGAAAGTACAGGTATTTGTATTCAACATGTAAGAAGTAGAAAGTACAGGTATTAGTGTTCAACATGTAAGAAGTAGAAAGTACAGGTATTTGAGTTCAAAATCTAAGAAGTAAAAGTAAAACGTAGTCATAAAAATAAGTAGTGGAGTAAAGAACTGATACCAGAAACATTTACTTAAGTACATAAACGAAGTATTTGTACTCCATTTTGTTCTCCTCTCATCTCCTCTCCTCTCATCTCAACTCTTCTCATCTCATCTCATCTCATCTCATCTCAACTCTTCTCATCTCATCTCATCCCATCCCATCCCATCCCCCACCTCCCAACCCCTTAATCCAAGCTACAATCACACTCCTTAAAGGCAACTTCTGCACAGCCTCCACCAGCCATCAGCAAACATAAGCGTCAAAACATGGGTACAGACAGAGTCACTGTATGTATGCCTGAGGACTACAAGACAGACAGAGGGCTACCGTCTGGATAACCTGCTCTGCTGAACTCTGCACGAGCATTATGGACAGAATCAGAAAATATTCCATAGGAATTTAGAGAAGGCATAACCGGGCCATTATTTTGACCCCAGTGTGCTTATTAATCAATGCAAGTCAACCGTTATCAAGGTTCGCTCAGCCAGACATCATCAGCATCAAAACAAGTGTGTTCACAGCCAGAGTGCTAAGTAGGCCACAGCATGGTATGTGACCCAAGAGATGGCTCGATGGCCCCTTTTTGTTACTCAACCATCTGATATTCTGCCCACTGAGGTGGAAACTTACCCCTCTGAACCAGAGGAGCAGGAACTGAAACCCGCCCTATCAGTTACAGGGTGAAGTTAGACCATTTGTCTTAAAGGGATAGACAGACAAATCCAACCTTGAGCCTTTCTGACTATAAAATCACCTAAGATGAACTGCCTCTTCTCCAACACTACTGTAGGTTCCTGCTGTGAAAATAAAGGAGTAGATAATTGCTTGACAAATGTAGTTTGTAGACCGTGCAGCTATCTTCTCACTTCACTGCTGCGGGGGATAGATTAACATCAGCAGGGAGATCGGGGCTAATTTGACGCCCGTCTTCTGTCTCAGCTGGACCAAAAAAATAAAACGGAGAGTTTTGGGATCTAGCTTACGCAATCACAAAGGAAGGAACTGTTTAACAGCCTTGGCAGAACAAGTTATTTCAAGGCATCTATGGGCTCCAATGGGGCTTTTCTCTGTCAACTACACAAAATATGTTGTCTTTAAACACTGAACTTTAACAACACTGAATTGAATGCAGAACATGTTTCATCTATTGCATTCTTTTTTCAAAAAGATAACAGATCTTTCCACTCCGACTTTAAGCGGATGAAAATGTACTCCTCGCACACCTCTAGGCAAAACCAACTTCAATGTGTATTTCAAGTGCTTACTTGGGACAGTGGACATAATGTGTGTTAAATTGAGCATGAATAAAGCTTTGTGTTCGCCTGAGCCTTGTGTTCCCGTCTCCTGAGCAGCACCTTCAGCCTTCTTCTGTCCAGCCTGTCTGCTGCAGTGACAAAAGCTGTTTCTAGTTCACCATCACCACAGCTCAACTATACCTTCATGGCCACCATGATAAGTCCACGAGAAGGCCAATAGGGTGGAAAAGCCCCGGGTATGAGTTATCCCTTCAATGCAGCTCTGGTCTCACAAAACTCACAAGATTTATTTCACTACTGCTTTTTTATTCAAGAGACAGTGCTGTAGTTCAAACTGCTTGAAATCTGACAGCAAGTCAGAAAACAAAATAAACATGCCATAAATACAGATCTGACATTTATCATATGAAAAAGGACCAACCATCAATGTGTTGATTTGTTGGAGGGTAGAGCTGTCTTAATCTTAAATCTTTGTGGCATCTAAACTCCATAAAAATCTACTGTATGCTCTTAGGTTAATATCTCCTCAGAGAGCCTCAGAGAGTAGAGTTTCATTGCAGGTTTTTACAGATTACGAGCCCTAAAGCAGGCTGAATAAAATCCCTTCCTCACCGGTTCCTCTTTTATCAGGTACAGGCATCCTAGGCTTGATAATATTCCCTATTAAAAAAGGTAAGTTTAGGCAAACTAATTGTTTTAACCCAAAAAAAGAAAAAGCAGATCCAGCATATATTCCAATATAAGAGAAAGTGAGATTGAGTGAGGACATCAAGAACCTTGTCTTGTAAAACAAAAACAATCATGGCTTTAATGCCTCACTTAACCCATAGTACACAATAAGCAATGTGGGTTAAATGAGGGAAATCAAACAGGACCTCACGGTGAGCATCTATTGAGCCTTAAGTATTAAGTACAACACATGATACCTCTAGAAAGATTAGCAGTCATGCACAGGGAGCTCCGCCGCCTGCCCTAGGAGCAACATTTACCCATACTACCTTGGGAAGCAGCCAGAAGGATACATCCACCCTATACTGCACGCTCACTAACCGTCAGGAAAGCTCTGCAGCTTTAGGCCCCAGCCACACGAGGACGATAACAAAGTCTTCCGTCCACACGCAACAGGCACCAGAAACGTGTCCGTTCACACGAGACCGCTCGTAAACGCTGGTGACGCTGTAGTACATATGCCAGGCCTGTAAGTGGAGCCG